ATAATTATTAAAATAATTATTTTATTACAATCATTAAGATTTATATTTCTATTTTTATCCTTACTTATAATTAAATAAAAAAATCTTAACTCATTTCATTGACATAAAAGTAAAATTGGAATATTAACATTTAATAAATTATTAAAATAAAAAATAGGCAAGTAAATCTTATCATATCTTAGACCACCCATATGTAGAATGTAGAATAATTTATTTTAATTAAAATTTTATACATTTTTAAAATAATAAATTCACATGAAAACCAAAAGCCATGCATAGCGTTCCCCAAACGAGGCTCAAATTTTTAGAACTTTGCAGAAGCTGAGTTTGAAGGTTGTAAAAAATACTCACATGGTGTTTTCCTTCGTACCTTGGAGGGCACCCCCCACCCTTCCTCTGAGAGAATAGTAATAATAGTAAATCTTAAAGATTGAAGGCAAAAATGAAAAAAAGAGGAGGGAGAAAAAAAGGTTAAAGATCAAATATAACAGGCGAATCTCTTTCCATGTACAAAATGAAGTGGATTTGCCAATCATATTGCCAAAAGAATTTGAATTTGTTTTTCATTTTTTTTAATTTTTTTTTATTTTAATTGTACAATAAAAAGTAATCTTCTTTATTTCTTATTTTACTCAATTTATGTATCATATAATTTAAATTTTATGATATAACTTGAATTTAAAATTTTTTATTTTTAATATAAAGATATTATTATTAAATTATTTAAGTTGTTGATTAGATTTTTAAGTTTCTTAAATGAACAAAATGGGGTATCACCTAAACTACATTTCTTAAAAATAACAAAACACTGTGCTACTCCTCGCCCGCCAGCAAAACAAAAATTTTATAAATGCAAGAACATGATTTTTTTTTTTTGGTTTTTGTTTTAGATATTAGAAAATTAAAATATTTTGATAATTAAAATATTATTTTTTTTATAAAATTATTTAAATACTTTTAATAAATCAATATATATGAAGAACTCATTAAAAATATTTAAATAATTTTATAGTAAATTTTAATATTTTAAATATCAAAACAACTTAAGTTTTCATCTGGTCTCACAGCCCAATGACCATAGGACAGTTTGTAAGATGCATCCCTCAACCCGAGGATTAGAGTTCGATTCCCTCCTCCCCGTGATTGTAACCTTGTTCAAAAAAACAAAAACCTAAGTTTTATTTTTTCTTTTTATTTTTTCTTTTTTTTGAATAAAGATGGTCATAATCTTGTATTAATATAAAACGAGGTAATGCAATTACTTTGCACATTCTACTTCTAAAAAAGACAACTTAAATATCTATAATTTTTATCTACTATCACTGATATATCTACTAAAATACAAAGTAGCCCAAACAATAAACCATAAATTAGAAAAGAGCAACTAAAAATTATAGACGATGCCCTAGCTATTCCTTTGCTTTTTAGGGGTTAGCTACTGACACAGCATACTACACAATACAGCAGCTTAATCCAAGCAATAGACTTGTCATTAGGCACAAAGGAAAGCAACCGCGGACAGTGTAAAACCTCCAGTTCAAAGAGCTCCATGGCATGGTCTCCATGCGAGCCCCCGTCTCCCTGACAAGATCCTCAAGCACCCTCAAACAAATCTTTTCTAATTGGAATTCTCCAAACTCGGGACAGACCTCTTAATAACATGACAAACCTTAGCACAGAAAGTTTGTCCAAGAAACATTGCCAGTTCCTCCCGCCCTCGTCTTCTTTCATCGAGACATCCCAAAATTCTTGATTTCATTCCATTCTCAATCCGCCTCCATACAAAACTTCATTAAGAACACCAATCAACCCCGAGTAGAACACCAACCATCATCCCAACCTAAGCAAAATAAATACCAAACCAACCAAGTCGCCCAGGTCTCCTGAGGCTTGGTAACCCGCATCTTCATCAATTCGGTAACAATCATATCAACCAATACAAGCACCAGTAATCCACCGCAAATAAGATGAGTTTTAAGCCTTTATCAAATATTGATTAACTGCAGGACTTAACAACATAATAGAATCCTAATATATAAAAGAAAATGGTCTGCTTACAACAACAGCCTATCTTTCTCCCTATGTAAAGAGGAGATTTCTTCTAGATAATTAGTATGATTTAATGTGATGTTAACATCTATACAACCATTCCCGTCTTCCATAAAGCGTTAAACCTGTGAGACTGAACCCGAACACAATGGACAGGATGGGTCTCGTCTGTCTTCAGCACTTGTTTTCTGTTCCAAGCAGTCTGCATGATAAACATGACCACAAACTAGAACTGCCACAACAGAGAATTCACTGGAGGCCATAGTATTTCCAATGAAGTAGGGTTTCCTTCTCAATATCTTCTGGCATAACCCACATACAATTTTCACTGCATCAGAAGATACAGCATCCATTGCCAGTGAACTTGACCTGATTCTCTCTGGCGTGTTAAATGCTTTCTCCCTACCATCTGGAAAAAAGTTTGAAAACCAATGTCATTATCAACAATGCTAGGGAAGAATATCATAAATCTTAGAACACAAGATAACTGATACTGAGGATAGCCATGCTAGCTAGTGAATTTCAGATGGAACATAACTTCCATTGAGAACTTGATATCTGGAAAATTTTTGTTGGTTATATGACATAATTTTATAATATGATCTAGGACATAAAGGAAATTCATATGACATTTTATGGAAACAAATATAGATTTTGTAATAAAAACAATGAACCTGAATGGCGTCCAGTCTCTGCATTGTATTGACTGGCCAACTTGAATGCTAATCTCTCATCATGTGAAGGAGTACTCTTGCCATGAGATGTTGATGGATTACCATGGCCGCTAGAGTTTCGCCGAGAGTATTGATGCCCATAGTAATGACGTGATCGTTTCAAGAATATAGAACGCCCATGATTGTATTGGTGATGAACCGAAGAAGAGGGAGCATTCAGTAGCTTTACTGGACCATCTCCAATACCCATGCCAACATCTAGTAAATTAGAAGAATTCTGTAAAAGAAACCATAGAGACAAAAAGAAATGGTGAACATCTTGCATATGGTTGCAAAGGGGTGAAGAAGAAAGGAGAAAGAACATAAACTCCCTAGTGCTGATGAAAATGCTGACTCATATTTCCTTTTCAATTAATGATTTTTTTTTTTTTTTGATGGGTAAAAGTAAATTTGTTTCTCAGAGTACAAGCAATACTTCAACAGTATTACAGAATATTTTCAAAGCATTGTAACATGTTAAACCCACAAAAACAACACAGTATCATACAGGATCTCTTTCACTCATCAATTAAGGGTTGAATTGTGGTATGAAGAAAAACAAAGAACAATTACAGAAAAGCTTGGCATCATTTGTTGAAAAAAGGGGAAGGGGATAACTAACCTCTTTGGATAACAATTCTGTTCCTGAAGAGCAGGGCATCTCTTCTGCTGATTCAATTAAAGCAAAGTGAGCATTCACATAGCAACTTTTTATTTTTATTAATAATTAGCACCGACAAGCTAATTGATGAATGCCAGAATTAAATGTACAACCAAATCTTCATAGCAGAACTTAGATTTCTCACTTAGTTGAAAGTGGGAACTAGATTGCTAAAGTCCATTAGAAGATACACAGGTTATATACCAACAGAAAATCTCATCCGGAAAACCTAGAGGATAGAAGAGGAGCAGGCATGATCAAGAAAATAGGATAACCAATTCAGTAATAAATGCACAAAAGGCAAATGTGATCCAATGTTGTACACAAAGGAGAAAACTGACTAGAAACTAACTTGGTTTACTATTGTAGGCATGATCAAGAAAATAAGGATAACCAATTCAGAAATAAATTCACCAAAGGCAAAACTGATGTTATACACAAAGGAGAAAATTGACTAGAAACTAATTTGGCTTACAATTGAAGGTTCAGAAGCCCATAAGGGGGATGTCAAAGATCGATATATTTCTACATACAATGGCACAACAGCCAATGGTCAGAACAACACGTCCATATATCCAATCTATAGTCCCTACATAATGACACTCACTTCCCAAATGTTAAAAGCTTGTAAGGCATGCGTGGACTGGACACTCCAGTCAAATAAACTTGCAAGGCAGAAGCAGAGAACTTACTAAAAAATATGCTTGTGTAGATTTCACACAAAACAAAGAATGGTATCAAACAAGACTTGGAACCATTGTTAATAACATACTTACATGTGTACCGATTTTGTTACAGGTATGGTTACACTTTTCGTCCAGTACAACATATTTTGGATAGTACACTATTTTCTTGGCTGATATGGATAAAAAATTAACTGGTATGAAACACATACCATATCATAGTGTACCAGCTGGTAAGGTACAAAATCAATAACATTGCTCAGAACCCAGATGATTCAAATTATCCACTATGCAAATAACCAGTTTAAGGTTTGTGAAAGGGATCTAACCGTGAAAGGGATCTAACCGTGAAAGTAAAATAAACTTCAAATTGCATTTTTGGAGAAAAGATAAAACTCAGATTTTGGATTAACAAGCACTTAGTCATGCCCTTTTGATGAGCATGAGAGAGGATGCCAAGTTTGATTAAGTCCCACCTTTGATGAATTGTAGGCTAGATATAAAGTCCAAACAATTACAAGTTTAGAAAGCAAAGTTATAGCATAAATTCACTAGAATCCATTTTATTCCATTCCGAGCACATAGGGTTGCCAGTCTGTATCCTCATGGCTCTCCAAATATGAACACCTATTCATATTATTCTCAATGAAAATCAACCACTACCTCTCCAAATTCACATCTCAAAACATACATATATATATATATATATATATATATATATATATATTTTTTTTTTTTTCTTTTGTTGCTTTGGATAAAATTACAAACTAAGCAAAAAGGCTACTGGCGTAAATAAGGAACTCTCATACTATCTCCCAGCAAGATGTTATCTAGGCCCACAGGAGGGCTGGTAAAGGTTGTTGTTCCAGAAGGCAGTGTATGATCAAGTGCTGCCATGAAGTCCGCAGTCATGCTGCTAATGGTAGAAAGGAATATCAAGGCAAAAAAGATTCGGCAAGCTTTTTCGTGCAGTATGTTTATGCTCACAGGGCTATTATTAACGTGATTGAGATGCTTTCTTGATTCTTTATTACGTTTGGCCCAGATATTTTCTGAGTTAATCCATTGAGACTTTTACACTTGGAGTATGCCCAGGTGAGCATTGGATATATCCTTGGTAGGGGAGGTTTTGGAGGGATGAAACCAACCATTCTCGTAAAAATGAAAAACCACGGCACTAAGCATTCTTACCAAGATCTACCAACCAACTTGTGATTGGGTTGCAAGACACGTTTTGAAGAAGGATTGTCCATATTAGTGTATTACAGTGTCAGGTAAGCATGATACATACTATCAAACTGGCATAGTGAAGTTCTACATTCTCAACAAATTAAAACTGAATTTAGATGATACGAACTACATGGACTTTAAAAACATGTATGCCGAAAATGAGATTAAAGAGCTACCAGGTTATACCAAAAGGATCTTGAAATTAGATATTCAGTACACATTTCACAAATCTAAGTTGATCTGCATATCGATTTTATTTTTATAAAATTCTGTCCGATCATCTAGAATCTAGTAGCCGAATAAACAGAAATAGAAACCCATTGTTAATGTACAAAACTTAATGGTACAAATGCAGATCCCTTCGAGATAGAAGATAAAAGCAGCAAACCTCTAGAAAAAGCATGATAAGACGACAGACATTTGCTTCACATGGTTTCTTTGCATGTAGCCTTGTTGTGCCCAACTCCCTTGCACCTGGTGCAGCAAACTGATCTTCTGATGATATCGTGCGATTTGCTCCTTTTATATTTCTTCATTGGGGGTGGAGCCCGTATGTTGCCCGGAGGAAGTACCTGCTCGTCATCCGACACAACTTCTTCTCCCACCCCAGGATTAATAATAGCTGAAACAGGGTTTACTAACTCGGAGTATGTAGTACGGAAACAATCCACTGTGAAATATCTTGAACAATAATCATATGGATTCCGACCTGTGCTGTTAAAGACAGCAATAGCATGGCAGCAAGGAAGGCCGGTTGCTTTCCATGTCACACAACTACACTCCCGTTTATTAAGATCCACAACATTAATTGAGGAATCGTGAACCTCAAACAGTGTATCAGATGAGAATAGTACCTTTAGATACCGTGCTTTAAAACTTTCTTCTTTTACCCTTTCCTCCTTTGAAGGCGTGAGCTTTGTAGACCAATTAGTTGAATCTGTTTGACGACTACTTATGAGCTCCATTACCTTGCATCTTAAAAATTCCACCTTCTGTATGATTGGAAGTTCCCGAGCTTCTTCTACCCAGTTAGCATATGACTCTGCAACATCAAAAGTTATTTGACTAAAGAGCTCACCCTTGAAAAGTGCATTTGCCCAATATTCAGGCTCATTCTCCATGATCCAATCATAAGCAATTGAAGAAACTCGTTTAATTTGCTCAGTAAACATCTTGAAGCCATCATGTCGGACTGCTCTGGCTGCGGCCAACAAATTCCCAGGCAAAGAAGCCCTTCCCTCTCCATGGAAAGGGCCTTTCAAGTTTCTTATGAAGCTGTCCATCAAGTAGTATATCGAATGACCATGGTGAGAGTTCTCAAACACTTCAAGCACAGACTTCATTAAGCCCTTGTCTTTATCTGAGACCAAAGTTATGGGCTGAGAAGTTGAGATCGCAGATCTCAAATGCTCCAAAAACCATCTCCAACTGTCATCATTCTCAATATCAACAATGGCAAATGCAACAGGGAAAATACCATCATCACCATCAAGTGCAGTGGCTGTCAGCAACATCTCATGGTATTTTGATTTTAATGATATTGCATCAAGGAAAAGAAGTGGGCGACAACCATTTTCGAAACCATGTATGGTGGCATGAAAGGATAGAAAAAGATGCTGAAATTTCTTTTCATCGCCAATTAGAAGCTTTGCAAAACTGCCAGGATTTGCCTCTTCGATCTTCTCACAATACCAAGGCAATTGATTATAAGCCTCCTTATAGGAACCCTGAAGTTGTTCCCGGGCATCTTCAATTCCACGCCATACTTGCGAATAGTTCAGCTGAAGCCCAAAATCCTGAAGAATTCCTTTGGCAATTTCCTTCGGTTTGTGATGAGGGCTGTCTTTTAACCTATCCTTGATGATATTCACCAACAAATTTTTTGCCGGATGAGCAGACTTCCAAGATTCCCCACCACATGTATGTTTTTTATTCATCCTTTTTATCCTAAAGACTTTTTCAGAAGGAACCCAAGATGCAAGAATTCTCCAAGGACAACCTTCAGCTACACAGACACCGCTTACTCGGGTTGCATCGTTTTTTCTCATCTTGTACCCAAATCGGCGTGCAATGGCATATTTCTGCAGTGCGTCACGAAACTCCTGCACATCCTTGAAATCCTGGCCTTCACCAGTGATACCTTTTTTCCATGAAGCAACTAGTTTCCTTATTGAATTATTACTAGAGCAGGGAACAAGGGAGTCAGAATCAGAACCATCGTCCCAAGATTCATCATCAATCTGCTGTTCCACACCTTTACTGACAGAATCAAGCCAGCGGGCCCGGCTATTCTTTCTCTGGGGTGTACTTTTTGTCGTCTCCTGACTCTCCTCATCATCTTCCGTAACAGAAACAATGGCAGGACCATTTGCACCAAATCTCCAGGATGCAGTTCGCCTTCTCTTCTTAACAGTATCAGCGGGGGTAGCACTCATGTCAATTGTATCTGGGCTATGGTCAGTTGCATCAGCAGTAGTTTCAGCACCATTTGGGGTCAAATTAACACCAACCCCGTCATCAGAAGCAGTACGAGCAGCACGACTTTTTTTTGAGGTATTGGCTGATCTAGAGTGGCTTCGGGGTGTTTCATTGACAGCATTTACAGAGTCAGCAGGTTTAGCATTGCGAGACTTCTTCCGACTGGCAGGAGCAACCTTTGAAGTTCTAGTAGTTGCAGCAGATCGAGATGCCCCAACAGCAGTAATAGTTTCAGCTTGTTTTATTCCACTTTCCCTGCAATGATTATGCAAGCTATGATCAATCCAATTTGCACTAAAAAAACAGAGGGGCAACCAAATCACTCAACATATGACACATGATATTTTTCCACAAGACACAGATTTTGCTTTGAGGTGCAATGACAGTGGAGAAATACAGGTACAGTGGATGCACACAGAGAGAGGAGACTGGGAGAACTTACCTATTAGCATTCAGGTCAAGAGATCTGGGATCAAATCCCTCCTTCCCCGTAACAAAAATATCAGCAGTTACTGATTTCTCATGAAAATCCTTCATTCTTTTGAAATCCTTATCATTGGCTAATGTAATAAGTGTCCTCTTGTTCCCTGGGAGAAAATACTTTATGCACAAAGAATTATGTTCGAAGTTGCAAGTCTCAGCTAATTTGAACTTGAGATCATCAAACCCTGTCTCAGAACTGATATCTAAGGCATGTGCATCTCCTCCACCATATGACAAGGATCCATCACTGTTTGTCACAAACTCACCACCAACCTGGCAGATCAATATAAGCTTCCCCCTCACCATACTGGATTATTTCTAAACTGCAGATGAAAACACAACAGAGGTATATCATACGAACTACAACGATAATCAAGATTCAAAATAGGGATTACTACAAATTTTCAAATCATGGGTAAAACTAAATATTGGTATGGTACTTCTATCTGGCATTAATTAACGTATAGTAGATAGGCTATTAAAACCATAATTACAAAGTTAAGGCAGCTAACCAAAATTGGTGGTATTAGACAGAAGTACTAAACAGATGCATGCAAATCTCCAAGCTTTTTATTCTCCTGCATGTGTGTTGCTTCACAACAGTGCGCAAAATCAAATCTTTATACAAGACCATCAGAGATGCTACCATGTTATCATACCTTACTTTTTTTATTTTTTTATTTTTTATTTTTTAAGAAAAAGACATGTAACTAGAGTTAATGTCCAAAGAGTTGAGTGATTTTAGTCTCAGAAAATCGAAAACCAAAACTGCACCAAAATAACTCGAAACAGAGCATGAAACTATCTACCGTGAACCAATGAACCAACTCAAAGCAGTTCTTTAATTCTGGTGTCAAGGTCAGGAGGTTCAAACCTCCATTCCAGTAAGCACACTGACTTACGTGCAGATCAAAGTAAAAAAAATATTAAACCCCAGTGCTTGAAGTCGTATGCACACACAACTTTACTACCCACAGAAATTTCACAATCCTGCAAATTAAAGAGTATTTTGCCAACAAAATGCATGTGGGTAACTCACAAACAGGTCAGGATGATTCCTTCCTTACTAACATATCAAATAAATTTCCTACCAAAAGTCAAAGAACCCATCAAAAGCAAAATCCTTTAATAAACACCCATTAGTCCATGACTCGAAAAATGAAATCAACTCGTGAACGGGTCACTATAAACTGATCTGGATAAATTAATACTGAAGTAATCTTGTTTTCACAACTTTAGCTGTTTGTAAAGAAAAAAAAATTTAGCAGATTAGTGCAGATACGAAAGCTGTGAGAGAGAAACTCAGATAAAAAGAGAGACAAATAGAAGAGAAAAACTGATGGTCCTGAGAAAGAAGAGGGATTTACCGGAGAAGTAGATGCGGGGATCTGA